AGCGGGACTGGCCTAGGGCAATTTTTAGAGGGGTTTTTAATCATATTTTAATTAGACAACATTTAAATATTTCTTTTTAACTAATTTTAATTTTGTAATTGTTATTGATGTATTTTTTAACTGATTGTCAGCCGCCCTGAGTCCGCAAGGAGAAGGGCGGGATATAAATTCAATAAATAAATAAATAAATAAATAAATATGGCAGCAGAATTTCACAGCAGGGTCTCTGAGGACTGAAAAGCTGAAATGTTTGGTCCGGTGATCTTGAGAGTAGAAAGGCGGGAGGGGGCCCATTTCAGATGCCCCAGAACTAAAATGTGCAGTCTCCGTTATCATTGGCCCCGTTTTCTAGGAATTCACCAATTTTCAGAACAAGTTGCTTATCTTTGGAACACAGCATCAGGCTAAGCTGAAAATAGCCCAGATATACATTTTTCTTTAATTCTTAATATTACACAGTGAGTTTGGATGAGTAATATTTCAGATAAACTAATTTACTTGTATTGGGATTAGCCCTTGGAGAAAGGATGAAGTAAAGTATATTTAATAGGTCTCCATTATTCTAGTGCAGATGAGGCATCAGCTTCAGTCTAAGATATCAATATTAACCTAAAAATGATCTTTCACTTCACCCCTGAAGATTGAAATTAATAAGAAAAGCTGCATCTCTTGATTAATAACTTGTTCAATATGTTTTCTTAAAATCTATTCATGTTAACAGTCACTTCACAAACAGGGATGTTATGTTAACAAAGATCAATTAACAGTAACTAGTTAATTGCCCCCCCCCCACACACACACATATACATACAGACTATGAAAGGCCTCTCTAACAAATCGGTTTTTAATGATCTGAGTATAATTCATTTTCTTTAATGTCCTTACAAATAGCTGAGCTCCAGAAAACTGCAAACCATGCAATGTGACAATATCACTTTTATTTGATCAGACTAGCTAAAATATATCCTAAAACGGTCATGGCATCAAGAGTTTTGACTTCTGGCCAGAAGTTACTCTGATTGTTTCTGTTAGTCATATTCCATTGGCACCTACTACACTTTCAGGGATGACCTTGGCCATGGATTACCTGAAATATACTAGACAAATGGTGGCTGAGAAACTCTTAACAAAAATCTTGATAATGGTTCACAATTTAGAAAGTTTAAATATACTTTCAGAGGTTAGCCTCACATGCTGCACAAAATCATAAATTGTTTTTGGCTTTGAGCCCTTTTATTAAAGTTAGGGTTAGGGTAAAGAGTAAATCTGAATATCAGTTTTCTGGTTCCACATAATTGGATAACTAAGAACAGAGGAGTTATATATAGCTCCTGAAGTCTTCTTTTGTGGTCTCCAGGGCATCCAAGAATCACACTGGAAAATTCTGAGGCAACAAGAAGAAAAAATTGGTTTTTACTATCCTACAAGAAATTCAACAAAGTGTGTAAAGTGTATTGGATTTACTTACAGCATCTAATACACATCCTCAGAAACAACTGAAGACTAATGTCATTAAATCACCAGTCTGCTTCTCTGTGGTTTTTGATCACCAAATATAATTTTAAAAATAAATAGAAATCTGGCCTCTAAATTGAGCTATTTATTTAGTAGGCTTTGGCATATGTATTGAAAGGCTTTGTCTTTCTCCCCTGTGCCACTCCCATCAGAATAACCTGGTTGGATTAACTCAGTTTGACAATATTATTAGGAAATTCAAATCAGACTGAAGATTTGAACCATATCTGAGCCAATTGACATCCCACAAATATTCTGAATCAGTTCTTCATTTGCAGAAGAATGTTTATTGAATTTCAGGAACATTTCATCTTACTCTAGATGCTCAAGATGACATATATAGTTCTTCTCTCTAATGCCACTGATTATGTCCATAATAACTCAAAAAAGATTAGTCTGAGATCTAGCCAAAAGTTATTCAGTGAACTTCATGGTCAAGTAAAGATTTGACTTGTGTGCCCAAAGCTAGCTTTTCCAACATTAATCACTACAACAGCAGTACCAGTACCAAAAATGAACAAATAATTGATATTTTTTCAGTTTTCCACTTTTACCAGGCAGGCAGGCAGGCAGGCAGGCAGGCAGGCAGGCAGGCAGGCAGGCAGGCAGGCAGGCAGGCAGGCAGGCAGGCAGGCAGGCAGGCAGGCAGGCAGGCAGGCAGGCAGGCAGGCAGGCAGGCAGGCAGGCAGGCAGGCATATATATATATTGAATTCCTTTCCTCTAAGCATGTCAGTCAAGGAATTAGTCAAAGTACAACTATTTCTAATGTGATGACTGATAAGTACTTTTTCAGACACTTATTTGTTTGCAGTTCATAAGACTTGACCCCAGGTGCCAGGGTCTTCTTAAGTTAAATGGAAAACAGCATTTGAGCTGTTTTGTTGTATCATTGGGCGATAAGCAGCTAGGCTAAATAGAAGATGTACTATGCATCCCCTGGCTACAAAACTGGGAGTCATTTCAGTTAACTGCTGAAACACAACCTTTTTGATATGGTGATAGTGTTATAATTTCATCAGAGTATCCAGAGTTTCTTATCTCTCATTGTACACTTCAGACATATATTGGACAAACTATACTGTATGTCTTTATACTGTATGACATGAAATGAGACGATAAGATTAAGTCTTTCTTATTTTAAAAAATGTGCTTATACTTTCATTGTGTCTGTTGAAATGAGTACTGTAAGTGCTAAATTGTTTTTAAAGATTAATATGAATTTATGACTCTTTTTTCAATTATAGACAGAAAATAATACACAAATGGCAATATATCTACAACACTCCTAAAACTAATATAAGTCTCACCATTACCATCACCATAATGAAATTACATAATGAAATAAAATGCCAAATCCAGTCTGAACATCTGGCTGACTGTGTGTGATGAACCATAGAATTCTCCAGCACTTGGAGATGGAGAATCCACCAATGGGTAGTAGACTGTATTCCTGCCCAATCAGATCAAGTCAGCTATAAGGACCTACCCCACTTTGCATCTTAAGAAGACAGAACTCCTGGAATATTTCTTCCAACAGGTAGCTTTATTAAGAGAAAGCTGATTGCAGGCCTTCTAGACAGGACTTGGGTCCAAGCTCTCCCATTCAAGGTTTTAAGGGATCCCCCATTAGCCACACCCCATCACCCCCTTCTCC